CGCTGCCCGTGGCTCTGGGCGGCGCCTCTGCGGGCAGCTGCACCCCGGCCGAGGCTGCACCCCGCGGGCTGGCCCTCCCTCAACACCCCCATCCCTCTCTGGCTGGCCCTGCGTCATCGCCAGCTCCCCAGCTCCCCGGGATGGGAGGGAGGGACACCCCACCTCAGAGGGACGCCGCCTAGGCACAGCTGGTGGCCGGCAGCATGATGGGAGAGTCCTGAGTCAGGGTTTCTGCGGTCTGGAGCCACCGGGAGGGTGGAGTGAAGGGGGAGGAGGCCTGGGCAGGGCAGGGTGGTCACGGCTCGCCCCTTGCGGGGACGGAGGGCGGCTGAGGACGCTGGGGCTGTCCGCGGGGAGGGGCCGGCAGGACCCAGGGAGGGGCGGGTGGCGAGGAGGGTGAGCAAGACCCCCAGGCCCTCCCACAGCCCCTCGCCACCTGGGGTCGCACCCTGGGGTGCAGAGGCCGGAAGCCACCTCGGGTGCTGCCTAAGACGAACAGGCCAGTCCGTCTCCCAGCTCGGGCTCTGCCTGGTGGGGAAGCCGGGCCTGAGGCCGGGGCGCAGCGGGAGGCCGTGGGGTGCTCCGGGGGCAGGACCTGTTCTTCCTACGCCTCCGTGTCCCCAGAGCACCCCGAATAGTGCTCAGCCAGTATTTGTTGGGTAAACACGCGGGTTTCCAGGACCCTCTGACAGGTCCTTGGGTAAACACTGGCTAGAAGTTCCTGGAAAGTGCTGGAAGGTACTAGAAGGGGCTGAAGGGGCTGAAGGGCCTGGAAGGGCCTGGAAGGGCTGAAGGGGCTGAAGAGCTGAAGGGGCTGAGGGGGCTGAAGGGGCTGACGGGGCTGACGGGGCTGAGGGGGCTGAAGGGCCTGGAAGGGGCTGAAGGGGGTAGAAGGGGCTGAGGGGGCTGGAGGGGCTGACGGGGCTGAAGGGGCACCCCCTTGTTTCCTGCAGCTCAGGTGCTGCTCCTCGGTTTCTGCCTCCCAGGAGCCGCACACCTCCGACGGCAGAGCCACGGCCCCGTGACGCTAAGGTGGCCACGTGCTTCAGGAGCGTGCAAGTGCCCTGTGGAAACCGGGCGCCCGACAGAGGGGAGCATGGGGCGCAGCCAGGGGCCCCGAGACACACCGATGGGGCCTCATGCCGCTGTGTGGCCAGGCCGCCCGGCGTGATGGGCAGGGGCCCTGCCCGCCCGGCCCTCCCCTCCTGGGGACGCACTGAGTGGTCCTCCCAGAACTCTGTCCTGCGGCCGAGACACGCAGGGGCCCGGCCCCCGGGCTGCCCACGCCGCCGAGCCCGGCCGACGGCCCTCGGTGCCAGCGCCCTGCTGAGGCGCTTGGGACCGTTCCTGCTTCCAACCACAAGCACGTGCCGTGGCTCAGCTCCCTCCTCCGGGGCGCTGGGCAGGGGCGAGGCGGGCGGGAGGTCCAGGGCCTCGCTGAGATCTGCTTTCCTGAGCGAGACTCCATTTGTCACTCAGGCGGGGGCAGCGGGTCCCGCTGACCGCTGGGGCCTCGGGCAGCTGGGGCGGCTGATTGGGGTTTCCGGGTGACGCTGCGCTTACTGATCGTGTCAGCCGTGTTCCCATAATAGACCCAGGCTGTCATCGGAGGAGGCTCGTGCCCCGCCGCTCCTGCGGACAGCTGGTGCCAGAGGCCGCGGAGCCCAGGCCTGCAGCCCCGGCCAGGCGCCTCCCTGGGCCCCAGCCGTGACCCGCCCACCCTGGGCGGCCACCGGCCCCCCGCTGGCCAGAGCATGACTTTGATTAACCCCCAAGAGACAGACCTGCTGGCTCCTTCCCCCAAGTTGCTCAGCTCCTCAAAGTCCTGAACCCCGGAGGGCCATTTCCTGTCCGCACCTGTGGGCTTGGGGGGCCGCTTCCCTAAGGACAGCGCCTTCAAGGTGGCGTCCAGCGAAGGGGGAGGTTTCGCTGGGAAACGCTTTCATTTTCAACTTTAAGAGTTCAGAGACAACGTGTGGTCTTTCAGACGAACTCTCCCACTTTCAGGGAGAAGAAAAACGGGGTAGAGGCACATGGGCCCCTGGGGTGCAGGGCCAGCCTCAGGCCGACACCGCTGTGTCCGGAGCGCAGCCGGCGTGGCCCGGGGTGCGGCAGCCCCCGTCCCCCGCTGCCCCTCAGCTCTGGGTTTCAGGGGGCCCGTCTGCTCTGCTCCCTGCTCTGCCTCCGGGGGGACCTCTCGCCCCCACCTCTGGCCTACCCCCAGTCCCACATGCACAAAGAGGGAACGAAGGGGTCCCGTGCTGACGATGAAAGTTGCAACGTCTGTGCCTGGGCAGACAGGGCGAGTGGGCCGCGGCGCACTGAGGGGCGCAGCACGGGGCGCCGGCTCCGCCGTGGCCCGCAGCCGAGAGCCCAGCCTCCCCCCCCCCAGGTGAAGGCCCAGCTGGAGGAGAAGGAGAACAAGAAGTTCCCCACGTTCAAGGCCGTGGAGTTCAAGAGCCAGCTGGTGGCCGGGAGGAACTACTTCATCAAGGTGCGGGGGCGGGCGGGGCGGGGCGGGCTGACGCGGGGCCGCCCCCAGCCGCTCAGGTCCTCTGTCCTTCAGGTCCAGGTGGGCGAGGAAGAGTTCGTGCACCTGCGAGTCTTCCAGAGCCTCCCGCACGAGGACAAGCCCCTGTCCCTGTCCAGCTACCAGACCGCCAAGACCCGGCACGACGAGCTGTCCTACTTCTAGCCCCGGCCGGCCGCCCCCGCCGCCCCCCCGGAGCCCAGCCCGTCCGCCTGCTCAGTGTCCCCGGCCCCCGTCAGTGAGCGTCAAATACAAGCTCAGCTCTGCACAGCTGGCCTGGGACTGTCCCCGGGGCCGGGGCCGCCCCCCGAGGAGTGGGCCAGGCCTGGCGTGGTGGGCGCCGGGCCCTGCACGTGAGCCCTGGAGGCGGGCGGCTGTCCTGTCCCGGGCGGCCCTGCGGCTCGCAGGGCCGCTACCAGCTCCCACGGAGGTCCCCGCATTGCGAGGCCAGGCAGCGCCCGCGTGGTGCCCGGGCTTAGCCGGCACTCCCCGTGCCCCCAGGGCTGCAGCCAGGCGTGGCACCGATGCCCCAGGTGGGCCCGAAGGGGCGCCCGCAGCAGCCGGGTCGGCTTCCGGGCGCAGGCGCTTCTCTGCCCCACCGGCCACCCGCCCAGGGGCTAAGCGGGCGGAGCCGGGCCAGCAGGGACCCCGCCTGCTGCCAGCTTTGCCAGGGTCACTGCTCTGGGCGCGGGGAATAGAGCGCTGGGCGGGGGGGGGGGGTGAGTCCCTCTTGGCCAGGGAGTGACCACAGGGCACAGCAGGCCCATCTCCCGCTGCCCCCTCAGCGGTGGCTGCATCTTCCTGTTCGTCCCGCTCTGGGGACTCCTCACCCCTGCACCTCTGGCCTGCACACAAATACATGGAAAAAATAAAGACCCAGGTCACCAGGCTCAGCTGGCCAAAGGGCTCTAGCGAGGATGTTGGGGGGGGCAGTGTGCTGGTGCCGAGGCCCTCACCCCCGGGTGCCAGCTCACGTCCCCTGGCAGCAATCTGGGCCTCTGTGATGGCAAGGAGGGGCTGGGCTGGGCTGGGCCGGGCCGGGACGGGGCTGGGCTGGCACTGGCAGGGACAGTGCAGGCGGCCTCATCCAGGCGAGTGCTCTGTGGGCCCAGGGCCGGGACTGCGGGGTCATCATGGGCCGCCAGGAGGGTCAGGCGAGACCAGCTGGCTGGAGGGGAGGGGCAGGGAGGTTCTCCCTGGGGAAGGGCCTCGCGTGGGGAGCGCACTGTGCCTCAGAACTGCTCCTCCCGGGTGGGGAGGCTGGGGTGCAGAGGGCAGTGGCCCGGCCGGCCGCCCTCCTGCCGTGCCCGCCTCCGGCCATGGCTGTGGGCACCTACAGCCAGGGGGACGCACGCGGCCCCAGGCTCTGGCTGGAAGAGTGGACGGCAGCTCCATTTCTCCGGGAAGGTGGAGGGTCTGGGGCCCCCACCAGGGCCGAGGGCCGAGCTGACCTGATGGCCGGACCAGCCACGGTGGATAGGGCAGCGGGAGGTGTTCAGGGACTGACCCCATCCCCGTCTCTCAGTGCCGGCAGGTGACTTGGGCAGGCAGAACAGCCAGCACGACTGTCACCTTGGAAATGTTTATTTGTGGCCACTCGGCACCCACAGGACCCGCTGGCTCTGCGGGGGGCCACGTCAGCGCCCACACAGCGGTGCAGGGCGCCGTGCAGCCCCCCCGCGTCACAGGCCTCGCTCGGGCTGCAGGCCAGGCTTGGGTGCCGGAGCACATACAGGCGCCCCCTGAGCTGGCAGGAACCCCAGAACCCGGCCCCTCCCCCCCCGCAGGAGACACCCCGCCCCTGCAGACTCTTGGGGCTGTGGTCTGCCGTGCCCAGGTGGGGCCCCCCCGCACAGACCCTGTGTGCCGCCTTGGGCACGTGGGGGTGCCCTCCACAGGGCACGAGGGTTCTGAGGGACCCCTGCAGCCTGGAAGGGTGCGGTGTGAAGGGGTGATCAGCACGCACGTGGCTCCGTGGGAGAGCAGAGCCTGCTCCCCACACTTGCTGCCCCCCCGCCCCGGCTCAGGGCGGCAAGGGCGAGACCCTGGCTGTGGAGGGGGACGGGCGGGGGGCTCTGGCCATTCTGACCGTGGGGGCAGGAAGGGCCCTCGGGCAGGACAGCACCTGCTGTGTGTGCCCGGCCCCGGTTCGGCATATGCTGTAGGCCCCGCCCACCTCCCAGGTGCCCACTCTGGGTCCTCCTCCAGGTTCTCTGGGCCAGGCAAGGCCACGGAGGGGTCTCCAGGAGGGCTGGGGTGCTGCAGGGGTCCCGCGCAGGCGCTCAGGGCAGGGCCGGGCCATGGCCCACTCGCCTGGTGCCAGACGCGCCACTGCGCAGGGCCAGCGGTCGCCTAGGATGGACTTGAGAGAGGACCAGGCTCGGGGCCCCTCCGCACGGCTACGGGAGGCTTGAAAACGAAGGTGCGGAAGTAGTGAAACTGCGTGAGACGAGCGGACACGGGGCAGGGAGCTGCGGGGCTGCGGGTGGGGCCACAGGGCAAGTCAGACCGGGCCAGCTGCCGGACCCTGCAGGGACGGGGGCTCACGGGACGCTCCGGACAGAGCCCGCCCTGCGGCACCGGCCAGGTGGCTCTGTGCAGTCCGGCGGCTGCCACGTCTCCGCACCCCACCAGGGCTTGGGGGCCCGACTCTCCCGGGTGGACAGCAGTTGGGGGTGGCTCGGGGCAGCTCCACAGCTGGGGCACCCGCCTGGGTGTGGGGGCAAGGGGCAGCCGGGTGCTGGCCCCGCCCCCGCCCCCGCCTGGCGCCCCACCCTGGCAGGGGGAGACACTCCGGGCCCTCCCGTACCCCCCTGTGCCGCTCACCGTGGGGCGGGCAGCGCCTTCCCGCCCGCCTCCCGCAGGGCACCGCTGCCCCGTCCTGCACCTGGCCAGAAAGCCCTACTGGGAGCCGGGGGCCAGCGGGCAGCGGGCGCGGCCTGGGTGCGGCTGGGAGACGCTGAAGAGCCCGAGACGGGTGGGCGGGCGTCCCGGCTGCGCGGGACCTGACTCGGGCGCCCAGATGGGAGGGGACAGGTGCGGGGCCGGGGCCGGCCCACCCGGCTTGGCTACCTGCAGTCGGCCCGGGCACCCCAGACCGTGGCCCCAGGGAGGTCACCGAGCAGGCGACAGAGCCACGCCCGCACCCGCTGCGCCCCTGCCC